TGGGTTTTTTTCCGAGCTTCAAAATTTCCCGAAATTTTACATCTCTAGTCGGGCGGGCATTACTGGTCTAAGGATTTGGTTAGGGAAGGGATGTCCAGCATGGCTCTCTAGTCTTTGAACCTGGGTGGGTGTTGCTGAAGTACAAAATACAGGACAGCTCTGAAAGAGTGAGAGCTTCATTACAGAAATTAAATAAATGCTTTATATCAGATAATTTTGCCAAAACATGTTGGGGAAAGTTTAAATAAGGGGTGTGAGTCACCTATCGTAGAAGCAGATATATTGCAGGCAGGGGTCATTTCGTAGAAAAAGAGGTGCAGGAGCTCATTAGCATAACTCATTTGCATATGCCACACCCCCTGACATCACCGGAAGTGTGTCAGAAGGCAACACCCACCGCTCAGGCTCCACGGGACTGTTTTGGGTTGCTAGCTATTAGAGGGGGGGGAATGTGCAGATCTGTCCTCTCAGAGGAGGGAGAGCTTGTACCTGAATAAAACTTGGTCTTAAAGGTGCCACTGGACTGTTTTGGACTGGGGGGCTGGGGGGGTTAGGGTCTGCAACTTACCTGGCTGCTTCTTGTTCTGACTGAGGGCTGCTGGGAGCAGGGGGCGGGGCTTGTTGCATGTGCCCACCCCCTGGGCTCTTTACTGCAGGAAATGACCCCTGGTTGCAGGGAACTGAACTGAGTGTAGTCTCACCACAGTTACACACTTTTCCGCCTTGTTCATTTCGAGGAGAGGGATTTAAGCAGGTTGTTAATTCTCACTGAAATCAATAGGAGGCTTATTTTTGCTGGATTGTGCCAAGTATCTTCAAACTTCTGAAAGGTTGCACTCTTCCTTAGAATCCGGGTATGTTTCAGCCTTTGGTTTCTAGTGTCTTTGCCTCTTTGATTGCCCAGCATGAGCCAACCGAGTTCTCCTTCCTTCACAGAGAGCGACCTCGGATACGTCTTTCCACACTGGATATCACTGGGCTCCGGGCACTTCCGGAAGGGACACTTGGCCGGGAATATGTTCGCTTTTTGGATGACAACGTAAGCTGAAGACGTAGAGCAGGGTTTCCGGGAATGTTTTTTTTCCCTGTGCGATACTAGGACTCTCCACTTTTTAAAAAAGCTTCTGGTCTTCATGGGACTGAAGAACTTTGAAAATGCTAGAAGCTTGGAAATGAGGGGAGAGGGAGGCGCCAGGATGAGGTAGTGTGGTCTTTAGTGGTCATATGGAAGAATCTTTGCCTACAAAGCTCCCAGTGAGAGCCAGTTTGGTGTAGTGGTTAAGTGTGCGGACTCTAATCTGGGAGAACCGGGTTTGATTCCCCACTCCTCCACTTGCACCTGCTGGATGACCTTGGGCAAGCCATAGTTCTGGCACAGCTGTTCTTAATAAGAGCAGTTTCTGTCAGAGCGCTCTCAGCCCCGCCTACCTCACAAGGGTGTCTGTTGTGGGGAGGGGAAGGGAAAGGAGTTTGTAAGCCTCCTTCGGGTAGAGAAGGGCGGGGTATAAATCCAATCTCCTCCTCCTCCTCCTCCAGTGCCTTCCTGCAGCCTCTAACTTCTGGAAGGTGCCATGCGTTTAGTTTTGCTCAGGGTTTTCCAGTGCCTTGGTGGCTTTTGAAATATTTGCAACCTTTGTTTAATGGCAGACTCTAGCAACAAATGGCAAAAAATGATACAAAGCTTGTGTGTGTGTGTGTGAGTGTGAGCCAGCGTAGTGTGTGAGTGTGAGTGTGAGTGTGAGCCAGCGTAGTGTAGTGGTTAGTGTGTTAGACTAGGATCTGGGAGACCCAGATTGGACTGCTCGCTCTGCCATGGAAGCTTGCTCAGTGACCCTGGGCCAGTGTCGTTCGCTCAGCCTAACCTACCTCACAGAGGAAGAAGAGATTGGATTTATACCCCACCCTTCACTCGGAGTCTCAGAGCAGGTTACAAACTCCTCTCTCTTCCCCTCCCCACAACAGACGCCCTGTGATGTCAGTGGGGCTGAGAGAGCTCTGACAGAAACTGCTCTTTTTCAAGGACAGCTCTTATCAGAACTACGGCTTGCCCAAGGTCATCCAGCAGCTACGAGTGGAGTAGTGGGGAATCAAACCCGGTTCTCCCAGATTAGAGTCCACTCGCTTAACCACTACACCAAACTGGCTCTCAAAGAGCAGAGAATGTAAGCTGCTTTGGGTCCCTATTATTGGGTCCTGGTACATCCCCCAGAGAACATTCCACTTTTTAGGGCTCTTTTTGTAGCAGGAATCCCTTTGCATATTAGGCCACACCCCCTAATGTAGCCAATCCTCCAAGAGCTTACAGAGCTCTTCTTACAAGAGCTACTGTAAACTCTTGGAGGATTGGCTACATTAGGGGTGTGTCGCTTAATATGCAAATGAGTACCTGCTACAAAAAGAGCCCTCGTCTAGCCTCAACCCGGGCCAGAGCCTTTTCGGCTCTTGCCCTGGACTGGTGGAGCACCCTTCCAGATGAGATCCGGGCCCTGCAGAATCTGACTCAGTTCCACAGGGCCTGTAAAACAGAAATGTTTTGCCAGGCATACAGCTGAGGCAGCGAAGTTTCCATTTGAACTGGTCTCCCCCAGTCACCAATCACCTCCCCGCCATCCACTTCACCAGTCTCCACTGACAGACAGGCGGCACTACCTTACTTTGAATAGTTTTGTTATTAGTGCCTTAGAAGAAGAGAGAAGAGGAGATTGGATTTATACACCGCCCTTCACTGCCCGAAGGAGTCTCAGAGCGTCTTACAATCTCCTTTCCCTTCCCCTCCCCACAACAGACACCCTGTGAGGCCGGTGGGGCTGAAAGAGCTTGTTCAAGAACTGTTCTTGAGAGAACAGATCTGAGAGAATTTGTGACTGACCCAAGGTCACACCAGCAGCTGCATGTGGAGGAGTGGGGAACCAAACCTGGTTCTTCCAGATTAGAGTCCGTGTTCCTAACCACTACACCAAAGTCACCATCAGTTTTTAAAATTTGATTTGTTATTGTGTTAATCAGTGTTCCCTCTAAGCTGAGTTAGCGTGAGCTAGCTCACAGTTTTTTAGCCTCTGGCTCACACATTTTTGTCTTCGCTCAGGAAGGAGGGCTCCAGAGCAAACTAATTTATGCAGTAGCCAAATCACTCGCTCACAACTTTAATGCCAGTGGCTCACAGAGTAGAATTTTAGCTCACAAGACTCCACGGCTTAGAGGGAACATTGGTGTTAATCCATTTTTAACAATTTGTGAAATGTTTTTTTTTTTTTAACTTCTTGTTACCTGCCCTGAGCCTTGCTGTGCAGGGGAGGGTGGGCTAAAAGTCCAATAAAACAAGTAGAATAAACAAACATTAGGGAGAAAGATGGGGTATAAAGGAAGTGAATAAACATGCGAAACCTGCCTTTGTTCTGATCGGCAGAGGGTTTCTCCAGACACGAGGATGCCGACCAAGTTTGTAGACGACGAGGAGCTGGCCTATTTGGTCCAGCGCTACCGAGAAGTCCATGATCTGATGCACACGCTCCTTGGCATGCCTACCAACATGTTAGGTGAGTCTGGAGGGCTCGCAACTGAATTTACACAAAGCAGCCGCATCGTTGGTACACGCTGTTCTGCCCTGTATTCCAACACAGGCTCTTTGTCAAACTTCAGACGTGTGGATCCATCAGAGGGCTTTGTGAGGTGATGTGTCTCTTGCTACTAAGAAGATTCTCTGAAATGCCCCATAACCTCAAAGGGACGGGCAGTTCCCTTGGGTACAACCACTGTCTCAGTTTGAGGAACAATCAGGTTAGTGCTTAACAAGAAAGCGAAAAGATTTTCTGTAGACAGAAGGTGACAGATCTTGAAACAGGCACCTTGCAGACAGGGGCGTAGCCAAAACATTTTGGTTGTTGGGGCATGGGGAAATCCGGGGAGGGGGGCGCGCCAGCCGCACCAACTGCTCCTCTTGCGGCAACGGAAGAAGCGGCTCCGGCTCCACTGTGACCTCTAATCCTCCTCTAGTCCTCTCGATTGGAGCACTCGATTCCGGGGTGCTTTTCTGTGTAAAACGGGGGGGGGGGGGGAATCTCCCGACTCTCTCTTTTGCATTGTGCAATTTTATATTTTATTTTTTGCTATTTTATTTTATTTTATTTGTATTTTTTTAAAACATGTCTATTTGTCGGCCTGGAAAAAAGAAAATGAGGCTGAAACTTCCCTGACTGTGCCCGGGGTCATTTTGGAAACCCCACGTGCATCTTACATTTTTAAAATATTCTTTTGAATTTTTATCTGCGGGGGCGGCACTCATTTGGGCGGGGCATTGCCCCCAAATGCCCTCCGTGGCTGCGGGCCTTCTCCCAGAGTATCCACTTGCCTGTCCTGGAGCCGCTGATGCAGTGGAAGTCATGTTGGGGGGCCCCCCTTGCGGCCTGGCAGCTCCCCATTCCCATAGAGCACAGCTCAGCTAGGAAAAGACAAATGGCCTTCAAAAGGCTTGAGGGGGGTTGTGCAGTGCTTAGCTCTCCCCTCCCTCGTCTGCTTTGGGTGGGGTATCCACACGGATGCTCTGCCTGCAGCCACTCCCCGCAGTTCCTCCATTGAGTCAGATGAAAGGAGCAAGCCCTGAGAGCTCCACTAGTCATGCCCAGAATAAGCACAATAGAGTGTACACTGTCTGTCATGACCCCTTGTGAGTTGCCACCTTCCTCTGCCATCACTTTAGACTGAGGGTCCCTTGGAAAGGCCCTCCCAAGCCCGACCAAAATGCCCCTTTTAAGCCGAGAACTATAGGCGTGATGACTAGGCAGAGAAAATTAAACGAATGGTTTATTAATACAGTAATGGGGCAAGGAAAACAAGACAAGGTGCTTAAAATATATAACAGTGTCTAAAAGGCAAAAGAAATCTTAACACGGCTACCTATTTCTCTTAACTGGTTACTATTCAAGGCCCACAGCCTTTTATACCAGGCCATTGTCTGTACTCACTCTGTCCCAAGTGAGGGATCTTTCTCTTAGACCAGACTGTCCCCTCAGTTTTACACTGTAAGAGGGAAGAACGCAGTAGAGAAAAGAACACAGTTCCACAGCCCACAAAGTTTAAGTCACAATTTCCTCATACAATCCCTGGACACCGATTGGTTACAACCGTCACTAAGCATTGTGTGGGGATTGTAGGCTGTCTTTCCCCTCCCCCACGGGTCTCCTGGGGCCTAGGCCTCTAGGCCTTGTCTCCCAGACCTACACAGATCATGACACCCTTCCTTTAAATGGGGGGGGATGCTGCTCTCTATTGGGGGGGGGAAAGAACCCTGTGCGATACCAGCCTCAGATACTGTCCAGAACAGCAGTCCAGTTTGATGGGGGATTAGACATGCCTACCAGTTGTGCATGTGACATAAGGTGGACTCGATTCTAGGTTATATTTATTCGTTTTATTTTATTCATTTTGACCCCACCATTCTCCCCAACGGGGGTCTGATTGAAGGGGCTCACATCGTTCTCCTCTCCTCCATTTTATCCTCCCAACAGCCCCCTGAGGTAGGTGAGGCTGAGAGGCTGTGACTGGCCCAAGATCACCCAGCAAGTTTCCATGGCTCAGCTGAGTAGGAATTCGAGCCTGGGTCTCCCAAATACGAAGCTGAAACTTTTAATGACCACACCACTTGGGCTCTTCTATGACATCGCACGTTCGTGCTTCTTTGTGGGATGTCCGTGTTGCTTTGCGTAACCAGTGGTGGGCTCCTGCCTGCATCCTACCCACCTAAATGAGAGCACTGTCTGGGAAAGCGAGTGAACCAGGTGTCAGGTTTGGCACATGGCAGTGTGGGGCTCCGCGCATGAAAGAGCACATGGACCGGACCCGGTCAAAAGTGAGTTTCATTTGAAGCACTCCAACAGTCATGCATTTTCAAGATTCTCAATCACATGGGCTAGAAACCTAGCTGGAGAAGACCCGCCTCCCCGAAATTCTGGTGTTTTGCACTCAGTAGCCAGTTCCATGCCCTGACCTAGCCTAGGCTAGGTCAGTCTTGTCAGTTCGCAGAAACTAAGCAGGGTCGGCCCTGGTTAGTTCATGGATGGGAGACCACCGAGGAAGTCCAGGGTCGCTACACAGAGGCAGGCGTTGATGAACCACCTCTAAATGTCTCTTGCCTTGAAAACCCTACAGGGTCACTCTGAATTGGCTGCAACGTTGTCCTTGGTCGCAAATTCCCCGTGGGCCTGGTATGCAGCTCTAGTCACTGGGTTCTCCGTCGGCCTGCTTCAGAAGACAAGGTTACTGCCCTTCATTGCCTTTAACGTGCATGAACGGGGTGCTTGCAACGGGGACAGCAGGGCTGTCTTGGCTGGCAGTCCCCTTTCACCTATTTTCACGAGGGAGCCAAGCCATGCCCTGAGTCACTAGGTGGTTGGAAGTAGAGGAGGTGCCTGCATTGCCTTTGAAGCAGGGCTGGGAAACGTGGGGTAGAGAGGGCAGGGCGGCTGTTGTGTAATTAGCCACTTTAAGCAATCTGTGTTGGAGGCAGAGGAAGGAGCCCGTCACTCCCGTCTTTGTCCTTTATCTCTTCATCTGTATAGTTTAAAATCCTGGCTGAAATTGCAGCAGACTGCATTCTCCTGCCTGGACCCCAGGCACTCTGGCTATTTTTAGCATTCCATTCTTGCAGGCTAAAAGACACCAGACCCTTTGCATACGTTTATTTCCTTCTTTTTTCCAGGGGTGTCAAACATACGGCCTGTGGGCCAGAAGCAGCCCTTCTAGGGCTCTTATCTGGCCCATGAGCACCTGGTCATTACCTTTATTGCCAGATGACAGAGGCTGTGCATTCTGTCCAGGGGTCATTTCGTAGAAAAAGAGGTGCAGGAGCTCATTAGCATAACTCATTAGCATAGCTTATTTGCATATGCCACACACCCTGACATCACCGGAAGTGTGTCAGAAGGCAACGCCCACCCCTCAGGCTCCACTGGACTGTTTTGGATTGCTAGCTATTGGGGGGAGGACGTGCAGATCTGTCCTCACAGAGGAGGGAGAGCTTGTACCTGAAGGAGATTGTAAGCCACTCTGAGACTCTGAGTGAAGAGCAGGGTATAAATCCAACTCTTCCTCTTCCTCGAAACGATGACAAGTTTTTCTGCTGAAGAGTTGATGCTGGGTATCTCTTGTAGTAGCCTGAGGTGTCGTTGTTACCCCTCTTGTGGCTTTGTGAACACTGTCACTCTGTTAAAGGAATCTTAGGCAACTAATTGCATGTTTTAATTGATTAAATCTGTGTCCATTTGCACATGTGCCGTGTGTGTCCACACACACCCATATGTAATATGGGAAAGTTATAAAGAAAGAAACTTTCTTAAATTTTGTGAGTGTGCCCATGTCCTAGTAGAGGCATTCCTCCCGTGTAAGAGAGGAGGGAGGATGCTTCTTCTGAGCAGTTTAGTTTGAACATGATGTGCACAAGTCGTAGCAAGTGGCATCTGGGAAGAAGTATTCCCTGCTGCATAAGAGAGGAGGAGGAATGCTCCTGCTAAGACCAAAGGATGCCTCTTCAAAACATTCTCCCCTGTGCATGAGAAAGAGAAACGCTGCTTCTAAGAGGACTTCTGCTACCTGTGAATTTCTACGTACCATAGTTGTCCAGTATTCACAATTTTTGGTCCTTTTAAAATGTTCGTTTTCTAAAAAAATATTTACGTTTGCGGCGCATCGGGTGGAATATAAATGAGATAGCTATATCAAGTCGACACTTCTAAGCATTAATCAGTGAAACAATCACACTGTGAATAAAGGAGAGCAAAGGCAGGAGAGTTACTCTGATGCCGACCCTCTTTGTAAACCCATTTCTACAAGGTAAAACTCGAAAGGCTAGAAAAAAAAGTAAATTCCCCACTGGAAATAGTAAACAGTATCCATTCTTCCTAGGCGTAAAAGGGGGGGGGGAATCTTCATGCTGCTAAGTCATGGTGTTTCATACAAGACCCGTACCTTACTGTCAAGGAGTTCCAGGCTAAACCCCGTGGGTCCCCAGAGAGTGTTCCCTCTAAGCTGAGTTAGTGTGAGCTAGCTCTCAGTTTTTTAGCCTCTGGCTCACACATTTTTGTTTTGGCTCAGGCAGGAGGGCTCCAGAGCAAACTAGTTTATCCAGCAGCCAAATCTCTTGCTCACAACTTTAATGCCAGTAGCTCACAAAGCAGAATTTCTGCTCACAAGACTTCCATGGCTTAGAGGGAGCATTGGTCCCCGGCAATGTTCCCTCTAAGCTGTGGAGTCTTGTGAGCAAAAATTCTATTTTGTGAGCTTCTGGCATTAAAGTTGTGAGCAAGAGATTTGGCTGCTGGATAAACTAGTTTGCTCTGGAGCCCTCCTGCCTGAGCCAAAACAAAAATGTGTGAGCCAGAGGCTCAAAAATTGTGAGCTAGCTCACACTAACTCAGCTTAGAGGGAACACTGGTCCCCAGGGCAGTTGTACACAAGTAACCAGACCCTTGTTTAATTTGGCCCTAGATTAGGATTGTTGGAATTAGAATTGTAAGCCGCTTAGAGCCCCTAGGGGGTGAGCGGGATAGAAGCCGAAGGATGGATAAATAAATAAATAAATAAATAAAATATGAAAATTTATTCTACTGCCAACACATTACTCTAAAATCATGCAGCAAGAAAACAAGAAAGCTGGATTAACTGCCGAACACTTTTTGGAACTGGTGTTAGATGGCACGAGCCTTAAATTCAGAAGTGAAAGGCGACCGCTCAGGTGTTGTCTATGCTCAAAGGTCATTTCGGGGGGGATCGCGGGGGATCACAGTTCCCCCCGGGTGAGGTATGGGGGCGGGGCACATGACAAAGCCCCGCCCCCTGCTTCCGGCCGCCCCGCTTCCAGCCCTCATTCAGCCAGGAGGAGGCAGGAGAAGAGGGAGGGTAAGTTGCTTCCTCCCGATCTTCTTCAATTCCCCAGGGCCCGTAAGACGGAGCTCTTCCGCCAGGCCTTTGGCTGAGACAGCGGACGTCCAATGTACCCTGAGGTTCTTGTCACCCATTAACAACTGCTGGTCACTATTTACATCTTATTATGGGCCAAGACCTCTCGCAACCATTAATTTTTCTACGTAGGGCTGCCAAGCCGCGGCAGAGGATCCGCACGTCTTCACAGGATCCCTGCTGCGGGGGACAGCGATATGCGTTGCACCGCCGTCGCCAGGATGTGACGCTACGTGTCGCTCTGGCAACGTCCCGCGGCAGGGATCCTGTGAAGACGTGCAAATCCCCCGCCGTGGCTTGGCAGCCCTAATTTAGGACCTGGCGAGATCTTGTCCATGGGGTCGCGAAGAGTCGGACTCGACTGTGCGACTGAACAAGAACAACATTTAGGGTTGCCGGGTCCTACCTCTGATCTGGCGGGGGGCTCTCGGGTCCTTGTTAGAATCTTCTGCCACATGCACACTGCAGTGGTGTCACCCAGTAGTAACATCGTCACATTGCTGACATCGGGGGTTACGCTCTAGTTTTTAGGGAAAACTCTATGGTTTTTTTGCCCTCAAAAACAGAGTTTGCCCAAAAACTAGAGTGTCACCCCCATGATGTCAGCAATTGTAACCCCCGAAACCAGGGGAGACCCCACCCCAACCAGGGGGGACGGCAACCCTACGTCCATTTCAGGATTTGCAAATTAGACAGAAAGTTGGGGAGTGAGTAGAACAAATGTTAATCTTGTCTTTTACAGGGGAATCTGGGTGCGATGTTCCTTTTCAATGCTTTTTATGTTGCTGGAGAAAGATTGCAAGGAGACTTCCAAGTTAAGAGATAGGGAAAATCATTGGGTTACAGTGCAAACCCAGGGGTCTGGGCCCATCTTTTTTCAGATAGTTCTCCTTTTTGTGTATGTACTCTTTTTAGAGAAAACGTTTGTAAAATGTTATACCAATGGCTTTTAACAGGTGCTAAGACTTGCTGGGATTTATAGAAGCCGTACCAGCCATTGTTGGCTTTGTGACCAACCAAATATGGATTTTGTTTTTACATATGTGGTGGTTTTATATAAGACCTAAATCCTTTTCCTTATGATAATCGCTTTCTGTGGCTTTTGCTACTATATAGGTTCAGCCAAGCTTGTCCTTTTTAACAATATAATTCCAATGCCAAAACAATACCAGTTTCTTTGCCCTTTGTTCATTGACTGCTACTAGGTTAGTTTTTGCTAAGGTTCGGAAGTCTTGGTTGCAACTACAGAGACTGGGTAAATAGAGCAAAAGGTAGATTTTTTTAAAAAAAATCTACTTTCCACTTACTTCAAGGGCACCTGTTAAATTGATTGATCTAATTGATTTTAGTACAAAAAATAATTTTCACTTGTCAAAACAGCTTACAAAATAGAGTCAAAACAACAATGTTAACCTTCGTACAAGAAACAGTTCGTAACACCCTGGCCCTTTTTTTGATGTTTGAGAATCATGTGTCTTCTCTATGGCTGGTTCAGAAATCCAGAGGCTGTCTAGAAGATAGACCTTGGGCTGGCCAAATGTGATGGTTCCTCCTGGCGGTGTCTTGCTAACCCCCCCCCTTACATTCCGTCTGTTCCACTGTCCTAACTTTTCAACACTAGGTGATGGAGGATCTCCCTCTGTTTTTGACAAAGCTCTGACTTGTTTTTATCATCTGTTGCTTCTCCTCAGGGGAGGTCGCAGTAAAATGGTTTGAGGCTGTCCAGACTGGCCTGCCCATGTGCATTCTGGGAGCAGTTGTTGGCCCTGTTCGTCTTAATACCCGGTAGGTTGAAGAGCCTGTAAGTGTGACTTAAACCTAGAGATGTGAAGGCCCGGGAAAATTCGGGGAAAAACCTGTTTTTTTCTGTTTTTTTCCTGAAGCCTTTTTGTGTTGTTGTTTTTTGAAAAATTGGAAAAAGAAAAAGAATAGACTATGGAATGTTTTATTTTAACATGATGAATAAAATATTTTAAGACAAAGTGTTCAAATATTTTCCAAATAATTTCTAAAATATATATATATGGTATCTCAGATTGATCTAATTTCTGTGCACTGAGGACAAGCAAGTCCTAGGCTACAAACAGAACTCTCCAATGCAAGCACAAGATGCATTTCTTCCTTTAGGAGGTGCGATTGTCAGAAGAAAATAAAAAAGTTTCAGTTTTGTTTTTGCATGTGGGAGGGTATTCTGTTTGTAATAATTGTTTGGATACACTATATTTTTAATATGCTAGTTGTGATAATTTCATGCCAAGTAAAAATGTCCATAGTCATATTTTATGTTCCTAAAGTAACAGAATGACTTTCAATCTAGAAAAGACAAAAGAAATGCTAATGTAGCATTTTTTTCAATTTTTCCGAAAATTTCTGTTTCCCCCCCAAGCTTCAAAATTTCTGGAAATTTTACATCTCTACTTACACCTGAACTAAGATTTTCCATCTGAACCTGATAGTGTGGCTCTTAAACATGACAGGCCTAGACTGTAAGGTTGCTGACTTCAGGTTGGGAAATTCCTGGAGATTTAGGGGTGGAGCCGGGGGAGGGCAGGGTTTGTGGAGGGAAGGAACCTCAGTAGGGTGTAATGCCATAGAGTCCGCCCTCCAAAGCAGCTATTTTCTCCAGGAGAATTGATATCTGTAGACTGCACATCCGTTGCAATTCCAGGAGATCTCCAGGCCCTACCTGGAGACGGGAATTACTACTAGTTCGTGTGTTCGCTTTGAAGATTTTCCTCAGTTTACCAAACTCCTAATGTTTGGATACACAGGAAAGGACCAGTGGGAGAGGGACAAAATGCAACCTCTTTTGGAAAATAGCATGTCCTTAAGTGAACAAAATCACTGCAGTGCCGCTTGAACTTTGATCATTAAAAGGGTGCCACATATTATCATTGGAGCTGCGGTGGCTCAAGTGGTTAAGACGCTGAACTGCAGGCTGTGGAAGGTCGGTAGTTCAGCAGATCGAGACCCGAGTGTGCCGCATGACGGAGTGAGCTCCCGTCTCTAGTTCCAGCTCCTGCCAACCTAGCAGTTCGAAAGCAAGAAATTGCAAGTAGATAAATAGGTACCACTTCGGTGGGAAGGTAACAGCGTTCCGTGCACCTTGGTGTTTAGTCATGGCGACCACATGACCACGGAAACGTCTTCGGACAGCGCTGGCTCTTCGGCTTTGAAACGGAGATGAGCACCGCAACTCTAGAGTTGGACTCGACTGGCTTTTGAGCAAGGGAACCTTTACCTTTACCTTTACATATTATCATAGAAAGTAATTAAGAATTTACTGATTGCTGTTGGGTTTGTTATAGTGCAAAAAAAGGGGAGGGGAAACAATATGGAATCTTATGGTCCTAGACGGGGGTCATTTCGTAGAAAAAGAGGTGCAGGAGCTCATTTGCATAACTTGTTTGCATATGCCACACCCCCTGACATCACCGGGAGTGTGTCAGAAGGCAACACCCACTGCTCAGGCTCCACTGGACTGTTTTGGATTGCTAGCTATTGGGGGGGGCATGCAGATCTATCCTCACAGAGGAGGGAGAGCTTGTACCTGAATAAAACTTGGTCTTAAAGGTGCCCCTGGCTGCTTCTTGCTCTGTCTGAGGACTGCTGGGAGCAGGGGGTGGGGATTGTTGCATGTGCCCACCCCCTGGGCTCCTTACTGCCGGAGCTCCGCTCCTGTGCGCTCCGCAGGAAATGACCCCTGGTCCTAAGTACCAATAAATTAACAAGTATGCTCTCTGACTTTTACAATAAGACTGTCAGGTCCCCAGCTAATTCACTCTCCACACACACTATTGGCAGTGTAATGCTTTATTAGAGATATGATACTGTGGGTTCAAGAGCTTTTGTTAGGACTGAGGAAATGCACAGGAAACTACAAGATATAGGTAAAAGCATAAAATTCCACATCCATCCATGTCGTATCTACCCCCGGCATTACTATGGCAACACAGACAGATATATGGTGCCCTATCTAGACTAGGCTGGCAGAGAAGGGTACTCCAAGGTCTGTCTCACGGGAAGCTGACTTGGGGCGCTTCTTGAGGAGTCACTTGTGAGTCACTGCTCACTTCTTCAGATGGAAGTGAGGAGTGACTCACGAAAACTCATCCCCTGCCACACATTTTGTTAGCCTTTAAGGTGCTACTGGACTCTTGCTCTTTTATACCATAACTCTGTACAGGGCTATTTTTGGGCAGGAACGCACAGGAATGGAGTTCTGGCTGGCTCCTGAGTTGGCCACACCCAGCAGGAACTCATTAGCATAATAGGCCACACCCAACAGCAGAAACTCATTAGGATTGGCTACATTAGTGTGGCCTACCATGCAAAGGAGTTCCTGCTACAAAAAAAGCCCTGGGTTTTGACAACAAACAAGGTAAACAGAATAAGAAGGGAAAGGTGGGTGTGGCTGGATGACCACACTTCTGGTAACATGGGGGTGTGGCCTAATGTGCTAATGAGCGGTGCTGTCACGGTGTGGCCTAATATGCTAATGAGTTCCTGCTGTTGGGTGTGGCCTATTATGCTAATGAGTTCCTGCTGGGCTTTTTCTACAAAAAGAGCCCTGTTTTGAATTACTAACCCACAAATGACATGGGGGGAAATGGCATACATCAACCAGGAAACAGTGCGAGAAAGCAGAATGTGGCATGAAAACAATCTCAGGTTTGATCAGACTATTCTACAATTTCCCTGTGCAGCTGGTCTTTTCCTGCCAAGTGAAACTCTCTGTTCTGCAGCAGTCTCCATGAATGCAATGAAATCATGAAGAATATATTTTCTCCCTGTAGAGAAAATACTAATGACAGCCAGGCCAGATTTCTTTCCCCCTGGATTTGTACTCGTTTGTGTTTAGGCTTAGTTCTTTGAGTATTGTATCAGGTTTCCAACCTCCAGGTGGGGCCTGGAGTTCTCACAGAATTACAGCTGTCCCCCAGACTATAGAGATGGCCTGGAGAAAATGTCAGCTTTTGGAGAGTGGGTACCACATCCTTGCCTGAGCTCCGTCCCTTCCCCAAATTCTACCCTCTTCAGGTTCTGCCTTCAAATCTCCGGGAATTTCCCAAGCTGGAGTTGGCAGCTCCAGTTATCTCAAAATTTATGCATCGCTGGGCCAAGCCACCACTGAGAGTTCTTAAGTACTTCTTGTATCTCTTCTTGATCTTCCTTTTGTATTTTTTCCCCTCCTCTGCTTTCCTAATAGGAAACTTTCCATCCTAGCCACTGATCTTATCCCATGGGCTGTTCAGAGCGGAAGTAATGCCAGCTGCATCCTAAATTTCTATTACGAGAACCGCTGGGAGCAAACAGTGGAATCTCTCCGCAACGAAATCGGGATCCTGCCGCCTCCCGTGACTGGGGTGTGAATCCATGCCAGGAAAAAGAAAAACGAGTGGACACGATGGCCCTCCGAAAGACAGTGGTTTGAATCCTGACATGTTAAATACTCCTTGCTTTCGATGCACTGGAGCATCGATGGGCTATCCAGTTTGAGAGACAAATCAAGTGGTACTGATCTGCTCAAAAAATGACCGAATTCCCCCCATAAGAGGATGTCTACCTCATACCACTTCTTAATGTATTAGTTCTAAGCAAATTACTGAAATATAGAAAAAGCTGGACCCCATTTGAACAGCTGCGAAAATCTGACAGATGCCTAAAATTTCAGAGCTAAAGGAGTGATAGGTCTTGCTGTTATCTTCTAATAAAAGAGGCAATGTCTCTGTATGATCTATATTTTGGAGCAAAGGAAGAATTAAATGATTTCTAGGCTCAGAAAAGTAATTACATTCAAAGGTCATGTGACACAGGGTGTCTACAGTATATGCACCACAGTCACATACTCCATCAGAGGATGGTATTTTAAGATACCTCCAGGGCTATTTTTGGGCAGGAACGCACAGGAACGGAGTCCCGGCTGGCTCCCAAGTTGGCCACGCCCAGCAGGAACCTCATTAGCATAATAGGCCACACCCAACAGCAGAAACTCATTAGGATTGGCTACATTAGGGGTGTGTGGCCTTACATGCAAAGGAGTTCCTGCTACAAAAAAAGCCCTGGGTTTTGACAACAAACAAGGTAAACAGAATAAGAAGCAAAAGGTGGGTGTGGCTGGATGAGCACACTTCTCATCCATGGGGGTGTGGCCTAATATGCTAATGAGCTGTGCTGTCAGGGGTGTGACTTAATAGGCTAATTAGTTTCTGCTTTTGGGTGTGGCCTATTATCCTAATGAGTTCTTGCTGGGCTTTTTGTACAAAAAAAGCCCTGGATACCTCCCTTGCAAAACTCAAGGCGGTAGGGTATTAAGGTGCGCCAACATAAAGGCATACCTATGGCGAGGAACAGTCAGATAGTAGCAGTAATCGGGAAGCTCTCCAGGTGGAAGAATACCAACAAATTGAGTAGAACGATCATGTCATGCTCTATAGATTGTAGTGTTATAATCATATTTAATAGATGGTTCTTAGTCACTCTTATGGCTCCCTGTCTGGTAACTGAATAAAGGGAGTCCAAGAAAAAATTGAGGAGCTGTAGTTATTGGTCAACAACAGTGGGAAATATAAGAGTTCTCTCTGACAAAGCCGTAGCCCTCTTGGGTGTCAGAGTGTATAATTTTAACTTTAAGGGGGAAGGCCTTCGCCCAAGTTTCAAGAGATTGTATCCCAATTCAACTCGGAGGGCTACCCCCGCTACACAAATCAGAATTCCACAGATGGAACATAGGGATTTAAGAAGAATTTAATGCAAGGAGAATGAAAAAAGATGCTGTGTGTTATTCAATACTGGATCTGGGCAGTTTTGGTGTTCCACTTTTGAGGAAGCAAGGTGATATGGCAACTTTAAGCCGGTGGGGCTGTGAAGTGGATACACAAGTGGTGAGACGAGGATGTTGTGAAGAGGAATTATAAACCTCTATATTTGGACTTTTCATTGTTTGAGGAATTTGACTTGGACTATTTCTCAAGGTGTATGGATAGGTCTGCTTTTGTATTTGGACCGTGTACTTTTGAGTTTCCGATTACTATATTGTATTTTTGAAATTTTTTTTTAAAAAGGTTTATGATTAAAAATATCACAATATAAAAACAAGCCACTGGACATAAGCAGCATAAAAACTATCTACAAAACCGAAACAGACCGTTTAAGAGCTGCTATGATAAAACCCTTAATTAGAAGCCTGGGTGAAAAGGTGTGTTTTGGCTTGGCACCTAAAACAAATTAAAGGCAAGTCTGATGGTTCAGGGATGTTCCAGAGGTGAGACGCCACCACAAGACGGGCCCTGTCTGTAGTTGCCACCCACCTCATCTCTGAAGGCAAGAGAGCAAGGCTTGAGAGGCAGATCTTGACTGGCAGGCTGGATAGTACGGGAGAAGACTTGACCTAGGCAAAACCTACCTTCCTGCTTGCTGATGTTATTAAATGTAACCAGCGTTCCCTCTAAGCTGAGTTAGTGTGAGCTAGCTCACAGTTTTTTAGTCTCCAGCTCACACATTTTTATCTTAGCCCAGGAAGGAGGGCTCCAGAGCAAACTAATTGATGCTCACAAAGTAGAATTTTTGCTCACAGGACTCCACAGCTTAGAGGGAGCATTGAATGTAACGTGTCTTCTTCACTCTCACAACAAGCATGTGAGGGAGATTTCCATTACCAGTTTACAGTCAGTTAAGGGCAACTGAGACTTGACTGAAGATCGTCTAGTGAGCATCATGGATAAGCAGAGATTTGAGCTCAGATGTCATCACAGCTAGCCATTTACCCTCTCGAATTTCCTCTTTACCCTGATGAAGGTCCAGTTTGATTCAACCAAGCTTGCTGTGTGCAGATGTGATATTATTGGCAAATGCAGAGGGGACATGGGCTGACTCAGAATGAAGGGGTGGGTGAGACTGGAGGAGCGTTTCCAAGGGCGGGAGCCAGCTTTCCTTAAGACAAATGAGATGAGTGGCATGGGAAAAGGGGAGGGGAGGGGAATGTTCCAGGAGGGGAAGGGATCATCGTGGTCCAGGGACTATCTGAAAAAGCGAGCAGTGACTCACAGAAGCTCCTACCCTATCACAAGTTTTGTTAGTCTTTAAGGCGATTTCTACTACAACAGACTAAAACACATCTACCCATCTTGATTCTATCTCCATGGTTCAGGGTGACAAAGCAAGTGGGCTAGACCTCGCAGCTGCCCCTTCCTATGGGGGAAATGGTGACCGGTGTGCTAGATTTCTTCTCATTCAGGAGTAGGGAGGTCAGCCGGGGAACCAAAAGCTCCCTCAAGAATTAAGGGACTTCACAGATGGTAACTGGATATTTTCATTTTTATAGATCTTCCCCTTTTAATGTTTTATTTGCGTTAAATATCTCTTTGTTATTGGTAACTTTGTTGTTTTATATATCTATACTGCTCTATCTAATGAACACACCATTATGCTAAAATTTATAAATAAAAAGTAAAAAAAAAAGAATGAAGGGACGAGGCAGTGTCTCTAGCAGCTACTACAAAACCAAACAAAGGTTAGTGGAAAGGAGGGCCAATATAAAAACTATTTATAAAAAGAGGTACATGTATTTATTGATAATATCAAATTAAAACATATTAACATATTGGGATACAGAGTGTTGGACTGGATGGGCCTTTGGCCTGATCCAACATTGGCATCTCTTATGTTCTTATGTTCTTAACTGGATATTTTCATTTTTATAGATTTTACCCTTTTAATGTTTTATTTGCGTTAAATATCTCTTTGTTATTGGTAACTTTGTTGTTTTATATATCTATACTGCTCTATCTAATGAACACACCATTATGCTTAAAATTTATAAATAAAAAGTAAAAAAAAAAGAATGAAGGGACGAGGCAGTGTCTCTAGCAGCTACTACGACAGAGACTTCATCTGCACCCTGATCTTTCAAGTGCCTTAATAAATCCTAACAATCACAGTGTTTAATTGGTTTTGCGTTTCTGGGTGACCCCAATAGTAGGTGCACAATCTTGTTTCCACCCAAATCATTCTGGGTCACCCCACCCCTACATCCTTAAAATCGCACCTAGTTAATCATCACAGGAGAAGGAGAAGGATGGGCATTTTAGTGCAACCGTAGCTTGGAAGTCAAAGAAGGTCAAAGAAGACGGGGACGGCAAAGGATGAGATGGTTAGACAGTGTCATCGATGCAACGAACATGAAATTGAGCCAACTTCGGAGGACGGCGGAAGACAGGAGAGCCTGGCGGGAGATTGTCCATGGGGTCGCGAAGAGTCGGACTCGACTGTGCGACTGAACAACAACAAGTGTAATGCAAAATTCCCGGGAGGTCTGTTCCCACTGGGGTTAGAAATTATTCCAGATAGGTGGCGTAGGCGTATTAGCAATGATGGCCCCTGTGCAGAAATGCGTTTTTTCTTTGGAAGTTTGAAATGAGCAAAACCTTCAGGAAGCTTTTAAAGTTTTTTTCCCCAACTGGGTGGAGAAGAGGCTAGGAGGGGGGAAGTCAGTCCAATTGCTTTCCAGCTCACCTTCATACAAATATTAATAGGTCTAGCTAGAGACAAGGGGGTGGGTCAGGTTCTCCCCCTTCTCCAAGCAGGGAACAGAAATTTGGAGGACTTTAGACTAGAGGGGCTCCAGGAAAAAGCTGCAGGAAACACTTCTCTGACCTGGCCTGACCTGGTCAGTGGGTGGGGAAAAGAGAGGTGATAAAACTCAGGGAAGCAAGGAGAAACGTCTCTTTTCCTTGGGCGCTGAATCCATGAGACCAGACAGAACTTTTAACTGAGAAGGCAGCCATTGACCATGTGCTCTCCTGAAGAGCTGAGAGAGAGCTGCCAGGTAGTGGAAACTCTGTAGAGATTTGTCACTCCTAAGCTATGAGCCTGTTCTATATCTTAACGAGTGAAATGGCATGTATAGAGAAAGGGACAGAAGATTTGCATTTCACCAATTTCTTTTGGATCCCTTGCTCAATCTGATTCTGTGCTAAAAGTATGCTTGTAAACATTTTCTTTTTAGTAAATACTTTATAACTTTTGAGGCTGGTAGTGTTCTCTGTACCATGTAGACCTCCACTGTCTCGGTCACACTATTTTAAAAGGAGTACCGGGGAAGGCAGGCAGTTGGCAAGTGGCTATTCTTCCAAGGGCACACCCGTTGGCAGCTCTCGGACAGTGAATCTCCGACTACCAGGCCATCATGGCTGGCTACCAGCTGCTTCTGTATTCAAACTGAAGCAGTGTGACTCTCTAAACAACAAATTAATGCCAGCCACCACACAGTGGATTATCCGGCCAGATCAATGGCAACATCTGTCATGCTCCGACGATACACGTTGTTGAGATCTACAGCTTTGCAGCTAGAAACCAAAGTGGAAGATCTCCCCTTTGAAGGTTCCACATTGTTTTCTAAGAAAACTTGACCAGACACTGTCACAAATGAAGTCAAACTGGCAAATCTCTGGGTATTACATCATCAGTTTCTTCACAATTCAAGCCCGTTGGCAGCTCTCGGACAGTGAATCTCCGACTACCAGGCCATCATGGCTGGCTACCAGCTGCTTCTGTATTCAAACTGAAGCAGTGTGACTCTCTAAACAACAAATTAATGCCAGCCACCACACAGTGGATTATCCGGCCAGATCAATGGCAACATCTGTCATGCTCCGACGATACACGTTGTTGAGATCTACAGCTTTGCAGCTAGAAACCAGACAGAAAGTGGAAGATCTCCCCTTTGAGGGTTCCACATTGTTTTCTAAGAAAACTTGACCAGACACTGTCACAAATGAAGGCAAACAGGCAAACTGGCAAATCTCTGGGTGTTACATCATCAGTTTCTTCACAATTCAAGCAGAGGCCATTTTTCCATCAACAGTGGCAGCCACATCCAGGGGGTCAAACACATTATGCTG